GGATTGCGGCATGGCCATCGCCCCTGGGGAAAAAAAAAAAAAAAGACTCAGTCTTAGACCGTCAATGATAGCTTGGCAAAACCACCTAAGACTCCTGCCAGAGGCGTCCGACCTCTCAGTCACCTGCCCTATGGAGACACTCGGCCTCGGGTTACCTGTTTTGTATTCCCCTGTGGGTTACCCAGGTTGCCAGTGATCCCTGCCAGTGACTCTGTGGGACGTTGGCAAGATTGTTGGGAAGTGGACAAGGCAGGGCTGATACACAGAGCTGCCGCCAGGTCTTTGATGCTGATTGCTCTTGGCTGGGATCTGCTCTCAGTGGTGGAGGTCGCATTCTGGTTGACCACAGCCCTCGGTCCTCATACGAATGCACGAGACGATGTATCAGAGTCATTTTAAATGAATTATTACATTCCTTTCTAATCTCATCTATGCATGCCACCAGGAAGTCCAAGGAGTTTTTTTCTTCTCACAAAAATGTTTAATGTTTTCTTTTTAAAGTTATTTAGATAGTGTACCTTCTAACCATTTCTTTGCACATCACCAAACATGTATTTTAAGTATCTATACAGACCTCTCTATTTTAAAAGAAATTTGCTCAATTATTTATTAAGTAAAATTAATTTTTCAGTTTTCTTTCATTAATATTCTTTATTCTAAGCAGTTGTGTTCTCTCTAGAATCTTAATGTTTCTTTTTACTCTCTCGTCAAAAAGAGGGCAGATTCTTCTCTGTGCCCATGGGGGTCAGAATTGCTCAAATCAACACCTGATCTGAAGCTCAGTAAGGAGGAAAAATGGAACAGGGTTGGGCTACTGTTCACCCCCCTTTTTTTTCTTTTTAAGTTTGCTATAGGGAACATGTGCTCAATGAAGTGGGGGGGAGAAAAAGTAAGAAATCATACTCAGGGGATGGCCATGCCATAATCCCTTCTTCCATTCTCCTCTCCAGATTTTAGACATGTATGCACATTTTCCAAGCTGCCAGGTCCAGGACTCGAACCACACAGTTGACCATATAGGATGCAGCCACCTTAACTACTGTACCACTGGCAGGCTTGGACATTTTTTCGTTCTAATTAATAACAATAACGACAATAGTATGCACCATGTTTTGTACCCGATTTGACTTGGGCACTGTGTGATGCTCTCTATACTAGAGCATGTTTGAGTCAACACTGTAAACTTACCTTGGTGTGTGTTTTGGTGGATTATTGCATTGTGTGCTGTGACCATGTGGGGAATTGGGGATTTGCTGGCCAAGCCAGTCCCTGTTGTCTTTATGACAGGGAAGCTGGTGTAGCTTACTGCTAAGCCACACCTTTCCTTTTATTGAACCCTGAATTGTGGAGGGCCGAGTGTGAGAGGTATTTATGGAGGATCCTTCTGTGTTAATCTCCTGCAAAGCCTCTGTCACATGGTTGCGCCAGTCCCTCTGGAATGAGTCGATTGGATATATTGCCACATAGTGACCTTGGGACTGGCCCTCCTGGCTTAAGGCCCCAAGCACCTAAATGATGAGCATGTCAAGGGAGTGGAGGGAGAACACGTGAGCTGCAGCAGAGGTACCGGAAGCCCAGCCTGGATCCCAAGGGCTAGAACAGGGCAGAGAGTTCCAGCCGTGAGGGCGGATGGGATATTACAGTTGGGCTTTTAGGAGGCAGGACAGACGAATCTGTTGTGATGGGAAATGTACATGTGGTAGGAGGGAGCTGGGGCCACAGAAATGAAATTGTGATGGTGAGTGAAGAGCCTACATATTCTGGGTCCCCAGAAACAGTCCCCTGAGCAGCTAAAAGGCCGACTCTATGGTACTCAGGTATTGTACTCTCTAGGTCTCTCTCTCTCTCTCTCTCTTTTTTTTTTTTTTTTTTTAGGTTTTTGCCAGAGGGTACATGTACTCACCAGAGAAAGGGAAAGTGAAAAATCATCCTCCAGGGGCATTGGCCACGCTGCAGGCCCTTCTCCATTCTCTCCTCTGGATTTGTGGGCACGCATGCCCATGTGCCCAGCATAGTTTTCAAGTCCATGTGACTTGAACCATGGTCAGCCCTGTGAAAATCCAGCACTTAACCACTAGGCCACTTGCTGGCTCCTTTTCTTTTCTTTTTTTTAAAAGAATTATTTAATTTTAAAAAATGTATTGCTATTATTACTTTCCAGTTTGATCCAAGAAAGAGTGGGAGAAGGTGAGAAAGCAAGCCACCAGGTCTGGGACTCGAACCACTGTCAGCCTTGTGGGAGTCCAGCACCTTTAACCACCAAACACCTTCCAGCCCTGGCTTCTCTTGAAGTCTATTTTGTTGCTACATATTGCACTTTGTTTGTGCTTTCAATGGGTCACTTTTATTATTAAATCCACCATAATATGTACAACTCTCTGGTCAGGGACGCTGCATTGCTAGGTCCCTCCAGGGACAAGGCAAGGAAGCTGTGGTTCCCCCCAGTTCTTCCTCTGCATTCTGATCTAGGAGATAGGCTAAAGAACGCACCACTACAAGGTGGCAATGTAGGGGCTTGCTCAGAACAGTAGGAGATACAGGGAAAAGCCTGACTCTTAGCAAGAGCTTCGTAAATACTGTTTACGAAACAGATGAAGTTATTTGGTAAGGAATCGGCTGGCCATAATCAGAGCAGGCTGTTTCATTTTCCACCTGCTCCTGTTGCTTCTGCCTTCTCTGCCCACCCATACAGTGGGTGTCTTGGCTGCTCCCCTGGGAGCCCTCCCCACCCTCCTCAGGCTCCCACCTCACCCACCCTCCAACCATCTATACCCTTACTGTAGGGAGTGTGTGCTCCTGAGATGGAACACATAGGACTTGAACTTGAAGAGTGGGCCCCGGGCTGGGTCTTCTGCCCATAGCCATTTGGAGAATCTGAATGGGCACTTGTGTCTTGGTTCTTGACCAAAGCACAGTATAGCAATAGTCATATTCTGAATTAATCCGTGTCTTTTATTCTGCTCCTTGTCAACACAGCAGTGTAGTGCAAATTCAAAATTAGATCCTCCTTTGTTCATGAACTTGATTTTTCAATTATTTCTTCTAAAGGAGTGCTCCTGGAAGACCCCATGGGAAGACCTACTTCTCTGGAACTGGGTGATACTGGCACTGCCCAGAATGCCAGCCTACCTGGGCACCAGTTCCGTGGGTTCCTTGTCACTCCGGCAGCCCCAGAGAGGGTGCTGTTCGGATTCTTTCTCCCTGCCCAATCGGGGTTCCTCCTTCCCTCTCTCCTATGCCCTTTTTTTTTTTTTTGGAGAAGTTTTTGCTATAGGGCACGTGTGCTCTCCAGACTGACAGAAAGACAGAAAGCAAGAAATCACCCCCCAGGGGGGATGGCCACACCACAATCCCTTCTCCTCCATTCTCCTCTCAGGATCTTGGGCATGCACGCATACACACCCAGCGTGAGTTTAATCCACCAGGTCTGGGACTCGAACCATGGTTAACTACATGGGAGTCCAGCGACATAGCCATTACACTAACTGCTGGTCCCTCCCATGCCCTCTTTACCATGAGGTTTGCCAGTGATCACACTCACGTCCGGTGCTATCTCCTTCCAACCTTCTGGTGCTCACTTCTCATAGGCTTAAATAAAGCGTTGCTGAACTAATGAGACTTCCCTCCAGGTCGCCCACACACACCGGCATCTCCATTCCCGGTGCTCGGTCCATAGCCTGTGCCAGCTTGGAACCATGGGTGCAATTTTCCAACGTTGACAGAAAGGAAAACGTGCCCAGGACAAGTTTGAGAAAGCACAAGTTTAGGGACCAGCAGCTGGCATAATGGTTACATTACTGGACTCCCACATAGTAACCCGGGATTCAAGTCCCAGACCTGTCGGCTCACAACACTCACGTCGGGCACATGTGCGTGCATGCCCAAGATCCTGAGAGGACAATGGAGAAGAGAGTGCGGTATGGCCATCCCCCACGGGGGGTGAGTTCTCGCTTTCTGTCTCTGTTTCTATCTCTCCGGCAAGCGCGCACACCCTATAGCAAAAAAAATCTCTCTAAAACACACACACACACAAATTTAGCACTACGGATACATTATACCCACATTTAGTCATTTATTTATTAAGTGTCTCTAGGAAGTTGTGACCTCAGAAGTTAAACCCCTGCACCATTCTTTCCTCACACCCCACAGTGTGGAGTGCTTGTTTCCTGTGGTTGCTGTAGAGATGGCCATAGACTTAGCGGCTTCACACACCACAGATTTATCATCAGACATTTGTAGAAGTCAGAAGGCCCGGGTGGGTTTGGAGGGCCGACGCCCAGGTGCAGGCAGAGCACCCTCGCCTAGAAGCCCAGAGGGACTGCTTCCTTGCCTTCCAGGCTCCCGATGCTGTCTGCACTCTGTGCCTCACATGCCCCTTCTCCGTCTCCATCTTCAAAGTCCACAGCGCGGGCTCTCCCGGGCTCTCTCTCTGATCTGGTTTTTGATTATTTGTTTGTTTGAATTCCCAGAGGGCACACGCACTGGCCAGAGAGAAGGAGACAGAGGACACACCCCCACGGGGGCATGGTCACACCCCAACCCCTTCTCCTCCCTTGTCTGTCCTACCAGGATTTTAGGCATGCACATGCACTTGGCATGTTTTCTCAGCCACGGGAGCCAGGATGTGAGGGGCAGCTGGTCACGTGGGGTCCAGCTCACCTTAACACTAGGCTGTGCCAGCCCTCCCACTCGGCTTCTGTCATCACAGGTGGGCCCTCCCCACACTCTGATCCCCCTACCTTCCTTTTCCACATAGAAAGCCCCTTGTGGATGATTGGGCCCGCCTGGACCGTGACCTCCCTGTCAATTTCATCCCGTCTGTACAGTCCCCTTTGTCACGAGGGGGAACCTGTTCACAGACTCCAGGGACCGCTGCACCAACTTGCAGGGCAGAAGCATTATTTGGGCTCTGATGGGAGGGAAGCCACATGGTCACACTGAGACTCCTCGAAAACCATGGATATCCAAGTAAACTTTCTAATTCCTTGTTTTATTTTCAGATGCAGAGAGACATTGTTTATGCAAGAGGAGATGGCCCTGGTGCCTCTCGACCTGGATCCACGGCTCACCCACCCCATGCGATTCCAAATTCTCCACCATCCACTCCGGTGCCCCATTCTATGCCCCCGTCCCCATCCAGAATTCCCTATGGGGGCACCCGCCCCATGGTGGTTCCCGGCAATGCCACCATCCCCAGGGACAGACTCTCCAGCCTGCCAGTCTCCCGATCCATCTCCCCAAGCCCAAGCGCCATTTTAGAAAGAAGAGATGTCAAGCCAGATGAAGACCTGGGTGGCAAAAATGTCGCCATGTACAGAAACGAGGGTTTCTACGCGGACCCTTACCTGTACCATGAAGGACGGATGAGCATCGCCTCGTCCCACGGTGGGCACCCGCTGGACGTCCCCGATCACATCATCGCGTATCACCGCACAGCCATCCGGTCAGCGAGTGCTTATTGCAATCCCTCTCTGCAAGCCGAGATGCATATGGAGCAGTCCCTGTACAGACAGAAGTCAAGGAAGTACCCTGAGAGCCATTTGCCTACCCTGGGCTCCAAGACGCCTCCCGCCTCTCCGCACCGAGTCGGTGACCTGAGAATGATAGACATGCACGCTCATTACAATGCCCACGGACCCCCGCACACCTTGCAGCCAGACCGGGCCTCGCCAAGCCGCCAGTCCTTTAAAAAGGAGCCGGGCACCTTGGTGTATATCGAAAAACCGCGCAATACCCCAGGATTATCTGGCATTGTGGACCTCGGCCCCCCTCTACTTGAGAAGCAAGTGTTTGCTTACAGCACTGCTACGATCCCCAAAGACAGAGAGACCAGGTAAGGCATGGGGAGGGTGGCTGAGAGCGATCTGTGCTCTTCACTGCTGAGCGCTGTCCTTCGGAGGTCGGCCCGAGAGGACGAATGGCACCGGTCATGTGCAGCATGGCCGACAGGTGCTGCAAAGAAAGTAGAGTGACCTCAGAGATTACCCCGTCTTTGAGGAATTCCTAAGTCAGTGGGGTGAGGTGAGGCATGCCAGCAGCCATGTAAGAGAGGGCACGTGCAGGGCAGGCAGATGGTATAGTGGGTATGTCCCTGGACTCCCACATGACCGATTGCGGTTCAAGTCTTGGGTCCACTGGCTTGAAAATCATGTTGGTACATGTGCGTGCATGCCCAAGATCTCAGGAGGAGAATGACAGAGAACCGATTGTGTAGTGGCCATCTTCCCTGGGGGGCGATGTCTCACTTTCCCTCTCAGTGTCTCTGTCTCTCTCTCACCCCCTGGTTAAGTGCATGTGCCCTAAGGCAAAGACTTCTTTAAAAAAAAAAGTGGTCACATGCAGCAATTTCCGTGATCAGTCCTGCAGGCTTTGAGGCACGGTAGTAGCAGCCTTCTCATTAATCTAAATCTGAGTAACTCAGGAGAAAATTGTGATTCACAGAAACCTTTGGGCGGATAGATCAAGACATCATAGTAATTGATCTTCCGCGGAAAAGAAATGAATGGTTTAGGTTTTAATTGTTTGAGATGTCAATTTATGCATTTCCCTGTGGAATGAAGTTTTGTTTTCTCACCTAGTTGTGGGACACAGAAAGAATGTGCCACTATCTGTCTTCTAGGATGACAAAGCGTGACTCTGCATGAAAATAGTAACGGAATGGTTTAGATTTCATGCGCGTTAGGAGGTGGTGCTGAATTCTACTAAATCTTTCTAGGGAATGAGATGCTCTGGATATTTAAATTTCTTTCCAAATACATGCATTTTATTTTTTATAGATCTAGAACCTTCCTGCTATATCATGAAAACCCTCCAAAGGGTTTTCTCTGTGTGTAGTAATGGAAAAACCAAGTCTGAGATCCAGATGTTCAGCTGCTCAGTACTGTACTGTCACTTGCTATTCCATGAGAAGGCCCCAATTGTGAATGGAGTGCAGACTGTCTACCTTAGTATTTTCACACACACATCAGAAAGCCCTGTCCCCTTTAGCAGGTTATCTCTCCTTATTTCTTCAGTCCCAGTGAGTATCACAGAAGAAAGATTTCAAGAGGACAGAGAGAGAATGAACGTGGACGTTTTGAGGTCATTAATCCAGCAGCCAATTCCAGCTTCCTCTGTCAGCTAGAGAAACAGCAATGGGGACCGGCTGGCTTCTGTAGAACTGAGAAAAATGAAGGATTGGAACGTAGTAGTCATTCTCTCCTTTCCAACGTCCTTTAAAGGGCATTGAAATTCTAAGAATCAAAGAAAACGGTCATAACCACAGGTGTCTAAGGGGTTTGGGAGAGGAGGCTCATTGGAACAGACCGGTGTCACCACCGGAGAGGAGTCGACCCATGGTGTTGGAATCTTGCATGCTTGTGCTGTGATGCTTTGCAGAGAGGGTAACCAAGTGATCCCCGCAGTGGGCTCTGAGGCATTAGTTGGGAAAGGGTGTGTAACTGAGAAGATGGGATTTAGCACTCTAAGAATTTAGTCTAGAAGCAATAAAAATGTCTATCTGCATAATATGCTGTTAAGAACCAGAATCCATTGACATTGTCTGCCTTCCTCCCAGCCCCAGCCCATGTCACCCATGTTCCTGCCACACGTGTATTACTTAGTGAGCGTTGTCGAATCCTGCTTTTCAAGGGATCTGGTTATGGGAGAAAATAAAACACAGGAATTCAAGTCTAGTGATCTGTGGAGTCTCTATGTGACACCCTGATCAGCGTCTTGAAGGATGTAGCTTTTAGTACCTTCTGTGTTCTTTTAGGGCCTCTAATTCCTCTTTTAAGGCCTCTAATTCCTCTTTTAAAAAAAGAACTCGCTGGCCTCAGGGACTTTCATTTCACCCAACTTTGGAAAAGTCACTGGATTTCTGTTTCGCATGCTAGAAACCCTTTTTAGAAAATCCAAATTATTGTATTTCCAGAATAATAAGTATTAGTAAAAGTGGACAAAAAGATTGATGTTCACCTATACTATATACTGTCATTATCACTAACATATTCTGATATATGATTGTAATTAGAAATACAATTTTTACAATTTCACGTTTTCCATTCCCCAAAACATGAAACAGCAGAAGGAGAATTGTATTTCACCCATCTTACCAGGGCAACTCCTCACCTGTCAGTTAGCTTATCTCCCGAGGGTGGAATTGGAGTGCTTGCATTTATGTGTGGGCTGGCTAGGTTCCGGTCTCCTTGTAGCCTTACACACACACACCAAAAGCACACCACATACACATACCACATTGATATATGTCCTCTACACTTAGACTATTTTTTTTTGAGAAGTTTTTGCCATAAGGCACATACACTCGCCAGAAAGAGAGAGACACAGAGACAGAAAGGGAGAAATCACCCCCCAGAGGGGATGGCCACGCCACAATCCCTTTCCCTTCATTCTCCTCTTGGGATCTTGGGCACGCACACACATGCACCCAGCATGAATTTAAGCCACCTGGTCCAGGACTCGAACCATGGTTGACTACATGGGAGTCCAGCAACATAGCCATTATGCCAACTGCTGGTCCCTACACTCACTATTACTGAAAGACCTAAACACTCCCCACAACTTCGCCAGACACATGACAAAAGTGAGTAAGGACTCTCTGAATAAAAGAAAAAAAAACTGGGCCAGCCACTGGCATGGCAGTTGAGGCAGCTAGATCTCACTTGGCCCAATATGCAATTTGAGTCCAGGACCTAGTGGCTTGAAAAACATGCCAGGCACATGTGCATGTGTGTCAAAAATCCTGAGAGGAGAATGGAAGAGAAGGGATTGTGATGTGGCCATCCCTTTGGGGGTGATTTCTCACTTTTCCTCTCATTATCTCTCCCTGTCTCTTTCTGGTGAGGAAAAGAAAAGAAAAGAAAAGAAAAGAAAAGAAAAGAAAAGAAAAGAAAAGAAAAGAAAAGAAAAGAAAAGAAAGAAAAGAAAAGAAAAGAAAAGAAAAGAAAAGACAAGACCCAGCACAGGCTCTGTGTTAAGGAGATTCTGCACATCATACAGTGTAATGCTCTGAGCAGCCGCGTATGGTATACACTGTCATTACCCCATATTACAGTACAGAGATTGAGGCTCAAAGAACTTAAGCAACTTACTCAAGTCTGTAAGTGGCATGAAATGTCCTGACCCATTAAAGAATCCATACCATTGTGCAGGGTTCTGCCCGTGAGTGAGAACCATGAGCCCTTTTTACACAGGAGAGAAGGAAATTCAAGAGTCAATTTTGAGCATTTCAACCAAAATCCTTCAAAAATTGTTTCAGAACTTGATGCTAAGTAACTGCTCCTAAAGGATATTTACAGTCACAAACGTGATAGAATTTGAATACTTAACGCTGCTAAATATATACATGCCGTTTAAAATATAACTGGCCTAGCTAGTATATTAGCACAATTATGCAGAAATAGGATAAGGCAAAAAGAGACAGTCTTGGTAGATTTTCTTTTTTAAAAATGCAGCTGAGTTCCACGACAAAGAAAAAAAGTATAAACACCCTAAACAATGACTGAAGCTCAAAATTATAGTCCATCGTCTCACCTCTGCTGTGATGTTATTTTAGATATATTTAATTTGCACAAGTCTAGTTAAAGAATCTTCAGCCCCTTAAAGCCTAACTTCATGAATATGAGACCCAATAAAGTCCCAAAGCAATTTTGTATTAAGAAGCAAATCAATCTGAGAGTGCTGTGTTTTTGTTTTGGAGAGGTTTTTACCATAGGGTACGTGCACTCATCAGAAAGACAGAGAGACAGAAAGCGAGAAATCACCCCCTAGGGGGTATGACCACACCACAATCCCTTCCCCATTCTCCTCTTGGGATCTTGGGCACGCATGCACACACGCCCCGGCATGAGTTTAAGCCACCGGGTCCGGGACGCGAACCGCGGTCGACCACGTGGGAATCCAGTGACATAGCCATTACGCTAACTGCTGGTTCCCTCTCTCTGTCTTTCTTTTTTTTTTTTTTTGAGAGGTTTTCGCCACAGGGCGCGTGCGCTCGCCAGACAGACAGAGAGACAGAAAGCGAGAAATCACCCCCTAGGGGGTATGACCACACCACAATCCCTTCCCCATTCTCCTCTTGGGATCTTGGGCACGCATGCACACACGCCCCGGCATGAGTTTAAGCCACCGGGTCTGGGACTCAAACAGCCGTTGACTACGTGGGAGTCCAGCAACATAGCCATTATGCTAACTGCTGGCCCCTGAGAGTGATTTTTATGTGAGTCATGGAGGTGAAATTTTACATCTAAGATATGATGCTACGGAGACCAGGAGGGTCCCTCTACTGTTCCAGAGAGCTCTTCGCGCTAACAGCCCAAATACCAGCATGATGTTTGAGATTGGAGAAAAATGTCTTTCTTTCACATCTGTAATCAAGAGGCACCCAATGGTAGCATTTTTGAAAGAACTTGATTTTTATAACAGTTTTATTCACTTAAGAGACCAAGTAATTTCATCTTGATTCTTTTTTCAAGTTATTTATTTCTTCCATGAAAGAGAAAAACAGGTACCCCCAACATGATCTTTACGCCAGGATCCATCTCCAGCCTCAGGGAGCCCAAATCCCAGCCGCACAGAGAGACCTCAGAATACAAACCACTGGCAAACGTGGCCACCGTGTGGGGAAGAGGCATTACCACTGCACCACCACTGTTGGCCTAATCAGATTCTTATATTTAGTCCTGGACCTTGTTCTAATCAATTTTATATCTTTTCTTAAAAGTTTATTTATTAGGACCAGCAGATGGCATAATAGCTACATTGCTAGACTCCCATGTAGTCAGCCATGGTTCAGTTCCCAGGCCCTGCAGCTTAAAACTCATGCTGGGCACATGT